CAGTAACATATTGTCTTGATTACTATAGCTTTGTAGTGTAGTCTGAAGTCAGGGAGTCTGACTCCTCCAGCTCCGTTTTTTTCCTTCAAGACTGCTTTGGCTATTGGGGGTCTTTTGTGTCTCCATACAAATTTTAAGATTTTTTGTTCTAGTTCTGTAAAAAATGCCACTGGTAATTTGATAGGGATTGAATTGAATCTGTAGATTGCTTTGGGTAGTATAGTCATTTTCACAATGTTGATTCTTCCAATCCAAGAACATGGTATATCTCTCCATCTGTTTGTATCATCTTTAATTTCTTTCATCAATGGCTTGTCTTATAATTTTCTTCATACAGGTCTTTTGTCTCCCTAGGTAGGTTTATTCCTAGGTATTTTATTCTTTTTGTTGCAGTGGTAAATGGGAGTGTTTCCTTAATTTCTCTTCCAGATTTTTCATCATTAGCGTATAGGAATGCAGGAGAGTTCTGTGCATTAATTTTGCATCCTGCTACTTTACCACATTCATTGCTTAGCTATAGTAGTATTCTGGTGGCATCTTTAGGTTTCTCTATGTACAGTATCATGTCATCTGCAAACAGTGACAGTTTTACTTCTTCTTTGCCAATTTGTATTCTTTTATTTCTTTTTCTTCTCTGAGTGCCATGGCTAGGACTTCCAAAACTATGTTGAATAATAGTGGCGAGAGTGGACATCCTTGTCCCGTTCCTGATCTTAGAGGAAATGCTTTCAGTTTTTCACCATTGAGGATGATGTTGGCTGTGGGTTTGTTGTATATGGCCATTATTATGTTGAGGTAGGTTCCCTCTGTGCCTACTTTCTAGAGAGGTTTTATCATAAATGGGTGTTGAATTTTGTCAAAAGCTTTTTCTGCATCTATTCAGATGATCATATGGTTTTTATTCTTCAGTTTGTTAATATGGCATATCACATAGATTGATTTGCATATATTGAAGAATCCTTGCATCCCTGGGTTAAAACCCACTTGATCATGGTGTATGATCCTATTAAGGTGTTGTTGGATTCTGTTTGCTAGTATTTTGTTGAGGGTTTTTGCATCTATATTCATCAGTGATATTGGTCTGTAATTTTCCTTTTTTGTAGTGTCTTTATCTGGTTTTGGTATCAGGATGATGGTGGCCTCATAGAATGAGTTTGGGAGTGTTCCTTCCCCTGCAGTTCTTTAGAAGAGTTTGAGAAGGATGGGTGTAAGCTCTTTTCTAAATGTTTGATAGAATTCACCTGTGAAGCTCTCTGGTCCTGAACTTTTGTTTGTTGGAAGATTTTTAATCACAGTTTCAATTTCATTACTTGTGATTGGTCTGTTCATATTTTCTATTTCTTCCTGGTTCAGTCTTGGAAGGTTATACCTTTCTAAGAATTTGTCCACCTCATCCAGGTTGTCCATTTTATTGGCATAGAGTTGCGTGTAGTAGTCTCTTAGGTTGCTTTGTATTCCTGTGGTGTCTGTTGTAACTTCTCCTTGTTCATTTCTAATTTTATTGATTTGAGTCCTTTCCCTCTTTTTCTTGATGAACCTAGCTAATGGTTTATCAATTTTGTTTATCTTCTCAAAGAGCCAGCTTTTAGTTTTATTGACCTTTGCTATTATTTTCTTGGTTTCTATTTCATTTATTTCTGCTCTGACCTTTATGATTTCTTTCCTTCTGCTAATTTTGGGCCTTTTTTTTTGTTCTTCTTTCTCTAGTTCCTTTAGGTGTAAGGTTAGACTGTTTATCTGAGATTTTTCTTGCTTCCTGAGGTAGGCTTCTATTGCTCTAAACTTCCCTCTTAGAACTGCTTTTGCTGCATCCCATAGGTTTTGGATCATCGTGTTTTTGTTGTCATTTGTCTCAAGGTATTTTTTGATTTCCTCCTTGATTTCTTCAGTGATCCCTTGGTTATTCCGTAACGTATTTTTTAGTCTCTATGTGTTTGTGTTTCTTACATTTTTTTCCCTGTAATTGATTTCTAATCTCATAGCATTGTGGTCAGAAAAGATGCTTGATATGATTTCAATTTTCTTAACTTTACTGAGGCTTGATTTGTGACCCAAGATGTGATCTATCCTGAAGAGTGTTCCGTGCACACTTGAGAAGAAAGTGTAATCTGCTGTTTTTGGATGGAATGTCCCATAAACATTAATTAAATCTATCTGATCTATTGTGTCATGTAAAGCTTGTGTTTCCTTATTAATTTTCTGTTTGGATGATCTGTCCATTGGTGTAAGTGAGGTGTTAAAGTCCCCCACTATTATTGTGTTACTGTCGATTTCCTCTTTTATAGCTGTTAGCAGTTGCCTTATGTCTTGAGGTGCTCCTATGTTGGGTGCATATACATTTATAATTGTTATATCTTCTCCTTGGATTGATCCCTTGATCATTATGTAGTGTCCTTCCTTGTCTCTTGTAACATTCTTTATTTTAAAGTCCACTTTATCTGATATGAGCATTGCTACTCCAGCTTTCTTTCGATTTCCATTTGCATGGAATACCTTTTTCCACCCCGTCATTTTCAGTCTGAATGTGTCCCTAGGTCTGAAGTGGGTCTCTTGTAGACAGCATATATATGGGTCTTATTTTTGTATCCATTCAGCGAGCCTGTGTCTTTTGGTTGGAGCATTTAATCCATTCATGTTTAAGGTAATTATCGATATGTATGTTCCTATTACCATTTTCTTAATTGTTATGGGTTTGTTTTTGCAGGTCCTTTTCTTCTCTTGTTTTTCCCACTTAGAGAAGTTACTTTAGCATTTGTTGTAGAGCTGGTTTGGTGGTGCTGAATTCTCTTAGCTTTTGCTTGTCTGTAAAGGTTTTGATTTCTTCATCGAGTCTGAATGAGATCCTTGCCGGGTTGAGTAATCTTGGTTGTACGTTCTTCCCTTTCATCACTTTAGATATACTGTGCCACTGCCTTCTGGCTTGTAGAGTTTCTTCTGAGAAATCAGCTGTTAACTTTATGGGAGTTCCCTTGTATGTTATTTGTCGTTTTTCCCTTGTTGCTTTCAAGAATTTTTATTCGTCTTTGATTTTTGTCAGTTTGATTACTGTATGTCTCGGCGTCCTTCTCGTTGGGTTTTTCCTGCCTGGGACTCTCTGCGCTTCCTGGACTTAGGTGGCTGTTTCCTTTAGGGAAGTTTTTGACTATAATCTCTTCAAATATTTTCTCGGGTCCTTTCTCTCTCTCTTCTCCTTCTGGGACCCCTATAATGCGAATGTTGTTGCATTTAATGTTGTTCCAGAGGTCTCTTAGGCTGTCTTCATTTCTTTTCATTCTTTTTTCTTTATTCTGTTCCGCAGCAGTGAATTCCACCATTCTGTCTTCCAGGTCCCTTTCCATTCTTCTGCCTCAGTTATTCTGCTATTGACTCCTTCTAGTGTAGTTTTCATTTCAGTTATTGTATTGTTCATCTCTGTTTGTTTGTTCTTTAATTCTTCTAGGTCTTTGTTAAACATTTCTTGCATCTTCTTGCTCTTTGCCTCCATTCATTTTCCAAGGTCCTGGATCATCTTCATTATTCTGAATCCTTTCTCTGGAAGGTTGCCTATCTCCACTTCATTTAGTTGTTTTTCTGGGGTTTTATCTTGTTCCTTCATCTGGTACATAGCCCTCTGCCTTTCCATCTTGTCTGTCTTCCTGTGAATGTGGGTTTTGTTCCACAGGCTGCAGGATTGTAGTTCTTCTTGCTTCTGCTGTCTGCCCTGTGGTGGATGAGGCTATGTAAGAGGCTTGGGCAAGCTTCCTGGTGGGAGCGACTGGTGGCGGGTAGAGCTGGCTGTTGCTCTCGATAGTATTTTCTTTTTTACGAGATGATTCTTAAACGTTTCTGCTGGTTGGCCGTGTGCACCGGCGATCTGGGCCTGCGGCTCCCCTTTCTCCAGCATGTGGTCTTTAGCTTCAGCTCAGCTTTTCCTTGGCTTCTCAAGGCCTCGGCTGCCTCTGGCTCAAGCAGCTCCCTTGCTGGGCTCATTTCTCTGGGTTTCCTTCTTTTGAGTCTTCTTTGCTGCCTTTATAGGTTGATGACGTCCAGCTCTTCTGCTTATTCTCAGCAGGAGGACTCATAGGAATGACCTAGTTCCCAATATTGCCCTTGTTTTCGGAGATTTGAAATCCTGCCGTTATCAAATATAACCTCATGGCCAGCTTCTGTAGCTTGAAGGGTTAAGCGTCGTAACGCCTCTTGTATTTCTGTGATTAATGCTTGAGCCCCTGCGCACCTGTGTTAGCAGGAAGGTCCAGTAGTTCCGTCCTGAGTGACCCCCAACCCTGGGGCTTTCTTATCCAGAGAGGTGAGCCCTTGGAGTGTCCCCCGCACTCTCAGTCCTCAGTCATGTGTCTGCGGCTGGTCAGCGTCCCCAGCTGTCCCCCAACTGGTGCGTCGTGTCCTCACTGGGTGGACCCCGCACAGACCTGCTCCACGCGCACTTCCCCTTGGACCCCTTCCCCGACCCTCCTTCCCCGCACGCGGAGGCGGGGCCTCTGGGGGTGTGAGTTCAGCCTTCCCCGGTGCAGGAACCCACGCTCCTGCCAGGAGCCCGCTTTGATGAGAGAGAGGACAGCAGGAAAGAAGTCAAACACGTGGAGGCTTTTTTCCTCCCAGAATATGGTTACATTTCTGCTTTCTTTTTTCAGGTCTAGATGTCAGCACTGGGTTCAAGGAACTGTGTCATCAATTAATTGGTATAAACTAGGTATCCTGAAACTTAGGTGTGCACCAGAGCTGCCTGGAGGGCTTGTTAGGTCACAGTCCTGGCCCATCTAGTGAAGTTCCTGTGAGTAGGTCAGGGGTGGAGTCCAAGAATTTTCATTTCTACTAAACACCCACCTGATAACGGAAGCTGCTGGTCCAGGACCCACACTTTGAGAACCACTGGGGTGATCAGTAGTTTTTCTCAAGAAACAAACAAATGACTATTTACCAAGAATATTGTTCTGTTTAAGTTTGTTGAACACTGATGTTGGATATTATAACTCATGTCTTTTTTTTTTTTAATTTTGTAGAAATAAAAGAAGAACTTGAAGATCTGAACAAAGAAATCAAGAACACTGCTAATAAAATTCGGACCAAGTTAAAATGTGAGTGTAAAGTTGTGATTACATGTAATCATTGACGGTGGGGATGTGGGTAATTATTATTTTCTTCTTTATAACTTTTCATTCTTTTACATTTTCAAAAGTTAAGATTGTGACCACTTTAAAATAAGTTGTATGTACTTGGAATAGTAAGTCTTGTTTAAGTTCCTCATTATTCTAGAATTCTTAAACGAGGAGCTAAACCTAAGGGCTGTTAACCCTTAAATTTCAGAGTGAAGCACTAATTCGTGCCCAACAGGAGTTAGCACTCGCTTATAAATTGTTAATCTGTTATATTTTATGACATTTGGGGCTAAACTGCAGATATTTGAGAAGGCGACTAGCCTTTGACATGAGTTGCTGGGTTCTTCTTGAATGCCCTCGTACTCGGTGAGCTCCTTTGAACCTTTCGTAGATTCATCTCGGCTGACGGTGCTGGGTGGAGGTCCACAGCTTCCCTGTGGGACCGAAACAGACGTGGGTTTTCTCTGTGTGGTAGAAAGACAGACTGTATTTAATTTTTACAAAATGACATTCAAATCAAGAATATTTCTGAAGATCAAAATGAACCTTTATTAAGGAGAATTTCAGACGTATGTCGGGGGAGGGGGTCACCACCACAAGCCCCGTGTCCACGCCCTTGAGCTCTGCAGGTCCCAGCGGCCCTCACCCAGCCGGTTTCACAACCAATCCCAGACATCTGGGTCTTCATCAGCATATAGTTTTCTGTGTGTATTTCTAAGAGAAGGATTTTTCTCCCCCAAGTACAACTATAATACTACTATTTTTTCTTCTTCTTCTTTTTTTTTTTTTGTGGTACATGGGCCTCTCACTGTTGTGGCCTCTCCCATTGCGGAGCACAGGCTCAGTGGCCATGGCTCATGGGCCCAGCAGCTCCGCGGCACGTGGGATCCTCCCGGACCAGGGCACGAACCCGCGTCCCCTGCATCGGCAGGCAGACTCTCAACCACTGTGCCACCAGGGAAGCCCTATAATACTACTATTATATCTAAGTCACATTAATTACTATTATTTATTATAAAATATCCAGTCAGAATTCACACTTCCCCAATGATCTTTTTAGTTTTTTATTTTAAAATTTTTTTTTAATAGTTTGTTTGAATTGGGTTCCTTATTTGGACCGTATCCTGTGATTGGTTGATATGTTGCCATGTTGCAGAGTTTTGCTGATTTCACCCTTTTAATGTCACTTAACAGGTTACACTGTGCTCTGTATTTCCTGTGGATTGACAGTTAAATTCTCCAAACTTGATCAGATTCATGTTGCCTGCTTTGAAATGTGAAGCTGTAACATCTGGTTTTATTTTCTGATATCATCAGCAACTGACAATTACCAAAACTCATAAATTTACTAGGAGTTGAAAAGATAAGAAAATACATTTGAGGTTAGGCTTGAAAACCTTTCATTTTTTAGTTTAAAAGATAACTCTTGGGCTTCCCTGGTGGCGCAGTGGTTGAGAGTCCACCTGCCGATGCAGGGGACACGGGTTCATGCCGCAGAGTGGCTGGGCCCGTGGGCCATGGCCGCTGGGCCTGCGCGTCTGGAGCCTGTGCTCCCCAGTGGGAGGGGCCGCGGCGGTGGGAGGCCCGCGTACCGCAAAAAAAAAAAAAAAAAAAAAAACTCTTTCCTGTTTGTTTCTAGCTATTGAACAGAGTTTTGATCAGGATGAGAGCGGGAACCGGACGTCAGTGGACCTTCGGATACGCAGAACCCAGGTTGGATTGTTGGCCGTGTCTGGATTGAAGCAATGCTGAAGAATAGGTCTTCATACTTCTTCCAAATTCAGAATAATTTCATCTTTACCATCACATTAGTTCTTTCAGCATTTCTGCATAAAAAAGGCATCGTATTTATAGACTCCCTCTCTAGATTATGAAGAAAAAAAGTGTATTCAGTCCAACGGCAGAATTCTGTTCTGAAGAGCAAAGAATTATCCCAGTCATTTTAGTGTTCATGGTAAAATCCTCACCGTCTATAGGTTTATGGTGCAGCAAAGTGGAATTTAGTCCACTTAACTCTACCTGACAAATGGGGATTATGTGCTCAGGCTCTGGGGACAGTCTGCCTGGGTGCCAGCCTGACCCAGTCAGCCTGTAGCTATGGACTGATTGACTTCTTGAAATGACGGTTTCACTTCTATAGAATGAGGGATAGTAATAGTATAGTAAGGTTACTGTGAAAATCAAATAAGATAATGCATTTAAAGTTCTTAGCATAGATTCTGTTATACAGTAAGTTGCTGTTAATCTTATTTTCCATTTGAAGGAAAGATAGTTTGAATCTCTATAATGTAATGTTTTTATGTATCACTTTTAATAGAAGCAATGACCAGTGTGTATTGATCTATCTTTTTTATGTTAAAAGCATTCAGTGCTGTCTCGACAGTTTGTGGAAGCTATGACCGCATATAACGAAGCACAGACCCTATTTCGGGAGCGAAGCAAAGGCCGGATCCAGCGCCAGCTAGAAATAAGTGAGTCAGTGAACGTGCTATTTCTGTTAAAAACATATTTTTCTTCCTTAGGGTCTGACATGAAAGTATGTAACTTCAAAAAAGTAATTCCATCTCTGTTTTGGTCAATAATGTAAGCCTAAAGTGCTTTCATAGCTTCCTAGTCATTGAATCAACCAACCTATTATTTATTTAAATCCTTCAGAAAGTTCTAGGTGAGTGGACTTTAGCTTACTTGTAGAGCGTTAATGAGACCTGGAAGACTCTCAACCGTCACTTCTTCCTGTATTTTTTGTGTCCCCCAACCTTTCCTGCCCCATCTCAGGGGACAGTTCCCTGTGGGTCTCGTGGTTCTGCATGTCTGGTGAGCAGACACTCGCTGCCTTTTTGCTCCAGGCTTTCTCCCGCGGGTGTCTGTCTGTGTAACAGGCAGCCTTAGAAGATGCGGCTCGTGGTTCCCTCTGGGTGGAAGGCAGTTTGCTTGCTGAATAAAGGTTAGGCAGCCTTGCTTACCCCCCACTATGGAAGGTCAGGGTTCCTCAGCTGTGACACAAGCCCCCTGTGGGTGCACCTTCCACTGGGGCTGCTCTGCGTCTCCCACGGCTTGGGGAGGGGGGAGCAGCCGGAAACGTGAACCTCATTAAATGACATTTTAGGACCTCCCTGGTGGCGCAGTGGTTAAGAATCCGCCTGCCAATGCAGGGGACACGGGTTTGAGCCCTGGTCCAGGAAGATCCCACATGCCGCGGAGCAGCTAAGCCCATGTGCCACAACTGCTGAGCCTGCGCTCTAGAGCCCGCGAGCCACAACTACTGAGCCTGCGTGCCGCAAATACTGAGCCCACACGCCTTCTCACCGTGATGAGAAGCCCGCGCACCTCAATAAAGAGTGGCTCCCGCTCGCTGCAACTAAAGAAAGCCCACACGCAGCAACGAAGACCCAACGCAGCCCCCCAAAATAAATAATGACATTTTAACATCTTTATTGAGATATAGTTGCTGTACCATGTGAATGATACTCAAATTGTACAGTGCAGTGGTTTTTAGTATATTAGCACAATCAATTTTAGACCGTTTTAATCACTCCAGAAGGAAGCTTGCTGCCCGTTGTTGGGCACTTCCCATTTCTCCCCTGAGCCCCAGGCTACTGCCAGCTTATTCTCCTGTCTCTGTAATTTTGCCCATTTTGGGCATCCACATGAATGGACTCATACAACATATGGTCTCTTGTGACTGGTCTCTTTCACTTAGCACAGTTTTTTCAAGGTTCAACCACACTGCAGCAAACGCCAGTGTTTTATCCCTTTTTTACGGCTGCATCACGTTCCATTGTGTGGATGGACCACATTAACATTGTTTATCCATCCATGAGTTGATGGACATTTGAGTTGTTTCCACTTTTTGGTGATTATGAATAATGCTGCTGTGAATATTCACATTAACTGATATTTTAATTATGATGATGTTTCAAGTGGGTTTTTCCAAACTTCTGTGAACCTGTTCATACACAGCATTACTACACTTAACTCAAGGAAAAAGTATTAACGCCCAAACTACAGAAAGTATTAGAGCCTCTGATGCTAATTTTGCAGTCTTTATTATGTGCGTTTAACATATGCTGGATCTAGCTTACCCCCTTTTCCTATAAGCCAGAGTTAAACTTGTAGGAAAACTGATACACCAGAATGTATTATCAGTTTCGTTTTTATAGTTGTTCCTTATTCAGACTAAAATTGGATTTTATTAGTCATTCCAATTATAAGATTTTTCATGAGTGTTTTCCAGTTCTTCCTACTTCTTAGGCTTATGTTAATTTCTCCCATCGTTAATATTTGCCTAAGAAAATACATTGGAGAGGTTAGAAAAACATTGGTTGAAAATATTAACAACTCAGATTTTAGTTGCTAACTTATGGGTGCAAAAGTCATTTTTAAATATTGCTGCATTCTGAATGGAGTTTTTAATTGTTAATATTTTAGCTGGAAAAACTACCACTGATGATGAACTAGAAGAGATGCTGGAAAGTGGGAATCCCTCCATTTTCACGTCGGACGTGAGTATGCAGGTGGCTTTGTGGCCTTGTGTGTTTGTATACATACAGATGATTTTTTTTCTTTAACTTCCAGAGCAATCGTAAGTTCATTAGTATTTCTCTTCTGTTTTTGTTTTTCAAAGATTATATCGGATTCACAGATTACTAGACAGGCTCTCAATGAAATTGAGTCGCGTCATAAAGACATTATGAGGCTGGAGACCAGCATCCGAGAGCTGCACGAGCTGTTCGTGGACATGGCCGTGCTCGTTGAGACTCAGGTAGTCACACACGTCTCTGCTTCTCCGAGACAGAGAGCTGTTTTCTGTAAAATCTTACGTTTGATTCCAGTATACCTGAGAAAGCCAGTATTCTGGATGCGGTCTCGTAATTCAGCAGTTGTAGTGTTATTGCCACGTGAGACTGAAACGCTGTAAACAGCTTCAGCTTTCCACAGTGGGGGACTGGTTTACTTAAGTTGTGTGTGGTGTGTCCGTAGGACAGCCTGTTAGGCAGCCACAGGCAACATCGTCTTTGTTCATGGAGGACTTTTAATGAAATACATAAACGTTATGTGCCAGAATTTCAAGTTGACATAAGAGGGAGATGCTAAACCTTACACGTGTATGTATAAACGTGAATATGTACACAACACACGCCCTTCTACTCCTGTGTGTATGTATATATGGCATGAACTCAGCTGCATGAAACAGTACTCACAGAAGGAAAGAAATATACCAAGCACTATAATAACAGTGGGGCTATGGGAATTTTAGTCTTCTTCTCTAAAATATATGTATTTTCAAGTTTTCTGTAAGGACCATATACTAGAGTAACAATTGGGAGAGATGTATGAAAGAATAAGCCCCAAAGGGGATACACTGTGACGTAACTAGAAGCTTATACTTGCTACGCGGTGTCTAGTACCACCGGCACGGGGTGACGGGGGTGTGAGGAGACCCTGTGAGGAACTGAGGAAGTTGATACAGATTTTTGAAAACAGAAAATTCGGTGTGAAGCACAAGCCGGTGGTTCCAGTTAGGTTTGTGGCTGTGCTTGCGCTTCCTCTCGTGATGCTGAATGAGGTCCTCCGTGACTTTGCAAGCGCGCGAGGCTCGCCCTTGGTCACTCACTGATCAGTGGGCCATTGAGATCAGCTGACCGCCCCGTGAAGCGGGAGCATTCGTACCAAGTCATCTTAGGATTCACGTCACACTCACGTCCTCGCTCCCGCGGAGGCTGGTTTCAGGATCTCTTGTGTCCTCTAAGAAGGTTCGAGTCTAACTGGCCTATTTCTCATTGCCTGGGTTATGTAAGGATCACTGGGAAGTCCGTCCAGGTGCCAGGTTCATCCTCCACATCGCCACTAACATTTGAAGAACAGTGTTTACTTTGAGGAACCTTGTCATAAAAATGTGTGCAGAGCTGCAGTGCGGTGCATTTGCAGTGTAGGGTGGGGACGGGGCAAGCTCACCCCTTCTGCTGGGAGGGCCGGTGCGCCACTCACTGCGCAGAAGGGGGAGAGCTGGGAGTCTGGCTGCCACCAGCTTCTTGTTTTCAGGAAGGAAACCAGTTAGACAATAAGACAATCAGTGATTCGTTTTGTTATTACTAAAGATTTTAGAGCGCCTTGGACTTTTAATTAGGATTGTTCGATGTCAGATGCATTAGTTGCCATTAGAAAAATCGATGTGTTCTTAGCTTTGTTCCGTTGTTTCCTTTTAGAAGTCTGTTAGTGCCGCGTTATATTGGCTCGTCTAATTCAACATGTGCGTTTAATCAAAGCTTACTAGTAAGTGTACATGTGTGAATGAGTAAGTTAACTGCGTCATTCTTCAATGCTTTACCACTCACTGCTGCAGATTGTGTCTGCCGGTGGACAGAAGACCAGGTAAAGTGTCTGTCACCCCACATTTCACTGGATGCACCTCATTAATTTAGTCAGCTTAGTGGCCACCGTAAGCTATTCTGAGGTTACTGTATTTTGAAGAAATTGCAGCAATCTTCTACCCATTAGAAAAGATGTCATTCTTCGTCCACCGTATGTACGTGCATAATAGTAAATATTCGCTTAGCCTAAAGCTAGCCGCCTCCCGTTTACTGCGCCCATCTTTAAAGCGTGTTCTCATGCTAAAGCATATCTCAAAGTCTACATGATATGCCTTCAGTTATCAGCATTGTTGCCCATCCCTTTTAGTTCTTTTTATAGAATAAGTTGGATTTTGATTATTCTGCATATTGTACATTTATAATGGTCTCATCTTTTCGTAAATGTGAAAAAAAATTCGGTGTCCATTACACGCACGTTATGTTCCTGTGGAAACTTTACCGCTGCTCTGTGGCTGTCTTAAGATACACAATTAAGTCATTTGAAAGTATCTCCTAAGTTTGAAACTTTCTGTTTTAAGGGTGAAATGATCAACAACATAGAAAAAAACGTTATGAATGCCACAGACTATGTAGAACATGCTAAAGAAGAAACGAAAAAAGCTATTAAATATCAAAGCAAAGCAAGAAGGGTGAGTTTGGTCCTTAAGAATTAAAGTGCGTTTTTCTCTGGATTTGGTTTTGAGTGTGCGTACATCGAGCCCGCTTAACAGGTATTCCAGGAAATGAAAACTTCTTCCATTAATGTTTCATTTGAATACTGAAGTCATTCTTTTTGCTAAAACGTTTGAAGTTTATCAGATACGTTATGTTGACTGTGAACCCTGTTGGTTTTAAGTAATGAAAACCCTTTGCAGCCGAAGTCGGTCTCTCTGCTTTTCTCAGTTGCATGGGTTCCAATTCCAGAGTTCTCTGTGTCTTGGGCCATTATGTGGAGGGACATAACGAAACTCATGGGACTGGAAGTTCTAAAAACCATTGGTTACACATCTTACGCAGTGAGCACTTTATTCTCTGTTTACGTTATTTGCTAATCCTTCGGTTTGGAGGAAAGAAGAGAATTATTTGAGACCGTGGACCAAAGACGTTACATAGCACTCGCGTTGAAGCTTTGTAAACGAGTTTTAGTATCTTTATCTGAATCTTAACGTGTGTCGTGTGTGAGTGAAAGCTCTTCTAAGAAAACAGCGAAACCACAGAATTAAGTTCTGATTCAGGGACTGGAAAACTGTGTGTCTCACTGTGTGGCCTCACCCATTACTTCTTGGTCCCTTTCTCTCCAGTGTGGAAAGGAGCAACACGAAGCACCAAACCCGTGCTTTCAGGGCCTGTCACCCTCCCACCTGCTGGAAGACGGCTGTCTCAGTGCCAGTCAGGGGAGGTTTCCAATGTGATGGCAAAAAAGGGAGTTTCAAAAACTCCTTGTAAAGAGGGAGTTTCAAAACGTTCAGGAAACATAGTCAGATTCTGAGCGCGGATTTACCCGTAACAATGGCCCATGGACGTTCCTCACCCTGCTTTTTCTTGGGAATATCTGAGTGTTAATTATCTCTGAGACGTAAGACATGGTTTCTTACATAATTCCGTGTTACCACCTTTTGAAATATTGACCTTTAAAGTAAAGTGAGGTGATGAGGTCCGCGTGTGAAGTGCTTTGGCTGGTCCAGGCACAAAATGGACTTTCACTTAAAAAAAATCATTAAAAAAGGGCAGTTCCCTTCCTTTCTCCATGACCTAAACAGCACGTCAGTCCAACGAAAATTTCCATGAGAAGTTCCCTGGTTTTACAGAGATAAAAGGTGGTCGGGGGATACATCTTATCCTGAACCGGCAGAGCAAGCCTCGTTCTGGCAGGTGGCTGGGAGCAGTGCGCTACCTGGAGTGGCCACTGGTCAGAACGTGATGTTTTGTTTCAAAAATTATCACCGTCTCTCTGACTCAAGGCCTGGCATCTGAAACCACACACAGCTTGCTCAGCTTCTCCCTCTGCTGTTAGGTGCGTGGTTGTTGAGATGTTGGCCGTCCCTCCCCTCTCCTGGTGTCCTGGTTCCATTCCCGGGGCAGCTGAGTTAGCCCCTGAGAGACCAGACGGCACTAGTGGAGTGTGGTTTGTTTTACACGGTGTGGCAGGGGCAGTGAAGGACTTAACGGCCAGTAACAAACAAACAAGAAAGGAAAGAGTGTAGGGGCTTATTACATAGATAACTGATTTCTGAGTTCACTGACCTGGCTACATAGCTCTGTATACGTGAAAAAAATCAGCTGTATGTCTCAGTCCATCAGAAATTTACTGAAAGAATGTGGTCATGCAGCTTTCTCATTGATGAAACCTAATATTTGGAGTTCTATAACAGTTTATCTCCAAGTAGTCTGACCTCATTAAATTAAAAACCCATCTTTATGAGAACTGAAAGTTGTCAAGCAGAATTAATCGATGTCCCATAACTTAGATTTTAAAACGAATTCCAATAGAGTCTTTGATTTTAAATGAATGATGCCTTCTAACATGGCGGTGTGGAATTAACCACAATATAATCGGCTTGCTTTTCTTTGACAGAAAAAGTGGATAATTGTTGCTGTGTCACTTGTTCTGGTGGCTGTGATTGCTCTAATTATTGGCTTATCAGTTGGCACGTGATGTGGTGGCTGACGTCAGCGTGCGTGCCTCCCTGCCGGCGCGGCAGTAAGTACCTCATCAACTAATCTGCCTATTCACTCGCCCAGTTAGCTAATGGTGGTGCTTTGCCCAATTAACAACTACTGGAAAGCAATGAGAGGCTGCCAGCGGAGCGTTTGCCTGACTTCTGTGCCGAGAGCCAGCTTAGGCCGGGTGGCCGTGCACTTCTAAACCAGGGTCGTCTCCCTGGTGGTTTCGAAGCCTCGGCTGGGTTTGCCTCTGTTACTAAATGACGGCGCAGGCGGCAGCCCCTGACTCTCCAGTCTTCTGTTTTTGGTCCGGGAGGATGCTCCCTTCTTAAAGGAGCCCTTCATTAGTGGAATAACCTTAGCAGTGAGGATTAATTCTCAATTAAAAAACTAAAATGTAATGTTTAATTTATCTCTTAAGTTTTAACTCTTCAATAAGTGCAACAGCCGAAAGTTGCTCTGTGAACTCTATTTATTTACTCATCATTTCACTGTGGAATTGGAGTGGAGCGAGAGCTGTGAAGGACGCTCAGTGGAATTGAAAGACTTCGGCTCCCTTGTTTCCATTGTCAGCGTCTAGTTTGTTGTAAATGTGGCCGCACTAAAGAGAAACCTTGTGCTGAGTGAGCGTGCCTGTTAATTCTTAAGGATTCGGAATACAGAAGACATTCAGTTCTTCATTTAGAGTATCTTTATTTTGGTTTTCTGTGTGAGTATCACCCCTCTCCAAACTTCAGTAGATTTTGTGTTTTTCCTCCGTTTTTTTTATGCATTTGGAATCATCCTTCTTGCATTAACTCTTAAGTTAGAATGCTGCCTGGTGTATTAAATTTGGACATACCACTTATTTATCTTAAAACGTTTGTTTGGCGTGATCATTGTGATTAAAATTATATCTAGATTGTGACAAGTGGTCCTCGATGAATTCATTATTTTATCGTGAAAGCAACTGCTGGCTTGGTAGACACTTAGCACTTTCTTAAAGAGAAGACGAGGAGTATCTCAGTGTGAGCATCTGTGCACTGAGGACCCGCCACAGGCGAGGGGCCCTTGCAGTTACTGTCCCAGCGTTCACATGAGCCACCACCTTGCACTCGAGGTAGTTCCCGTTAGAAGCTCTGGGATGTGGAGTTTGTTAGCGATCCATTTTTTCAGAAGGCGGAAGGAGGGAAGGCTCTCTGTTTTCATCAGGCAGGATGTTCATGTATCCTTCCACGCTTTCCTATTACGTCTGCTGAAAAAGTGGTATATGTGATTTCCCTTCATTAATAATGATGGTATTTAAAAACTATTTTTATAATTTTTTATGAACTATGTATTTTCTTAGCTTTTCCTCGTGGCCATAATATGGCTAGTTGGATGTGCTTCCACTAAAGGTAAACTTAATTTTAGATTGGATGCTGTGGTGATGCGCTGGAACGAGGGCAGGCTCCTCCCAGCAGGGTTCCCTGGGAGCCTTGGGCTTTGCTGTGTGCCCTGGGCCTGGCCCGGTGGTGTGCCTTCATGCCTTTAAGCACGAATGAACACAAAACAATGCTCATTAGTAAGAAGCACATCAGAGAGCACACCAACAGGTTTTTTTTTTTTTTTTTTAACACAAACGCAGTGGTTGGTGTCTTTAATTGTACTTTTGAAAAACTATTCTTGCAGCAGGTAGTTCGGCACAGCCCTCCTCGGGGCCTGTAGGCCTGTGTGGAGGGAATCCTACTCCCTGGAGCCCTGCAGCGAGGCCAGGGTGCCCGGTTTTCTATCCAACGACACTGCTAAGAGGACACGTGGCCCAGGATTTACGTGTAGTAGGTGGTGGCTTGACTCCCAGGGGTGTGCGTGGGCCACCAAGGAGAAGTCCAGGCATTTGGCTTGAGTTGTGAGCAGGTTATTGGGCAAGAATGGTCGTTAAATCTATGGCATTGAGAGTGCAGGAGCTCAGCTATCGTGGAAGTCAGGAGAGCACCTCTGAAAGCCAGATGTGGAAGCAGGCACGCACTTACGTGCTACCCAGAGACTCGGCAGTGAGAGTCAGAGTCTCCTGGTTCTCTAAGGTGGTTAGGTGCAGTGAGGTTGACAGGGGCATATGGAGCAGGTTCTGGAGCTGAAGGGCGATGCCAGTGGGAAAGGAGGGGTGATAGGCTGAAGGAAAAAGGTGTGTCTAGAAAGGTGCTGAGAGAGGCTCCCCGAGAGACACGTGAGGACGATGCGAACATGGTCGGGACCACGTCCTCGCTTTCCAGGAAATGCACGTAACGTTAACAAGCAACAGGAAGTTTGAGGGCGTGATGTCCTGAAGGCAGTGGTCCCGGGGTTCTGCATAATGGACGTGAAGGTTTACCGAGGGGCCCGGCCGTGCTCCCCTTCATGCAGTAATCGATGGCGCTCTTGGCAGGCTAATACCGATGCAGAGCTGGCCGGTTTGAGCAGCTGTGATTTCTCAGATGAAAGTGTGCCATGAGTTCGGTAACTGTAATTTAAAATGATGAATCTCTGCTGTTTACAAAGAGAACTGGAAGTCAGACAGCGTGGTGTGCCTTTCATCTTCGTGAATTCCTCCTGTTCTCCCGCAGACCAGACGGGCTTGCCGGAGAGGCTAGATTTCTTAAGCCAAAGGTTGTTTAGCTTTTCAGCTGTGCGAGGGCTTGTTAATGGACAGCAAAAAGTTACTGTTAATATTGCCTTGCTCTGGGCCCTGGATGCAGCAGGAGACCGAGTTAATGGCTTGTTGATTTCTTCCTTGTATCATACCTCAATGTAAAAAAAGGTATAAATAAGATTTTTTTCAGCAAGTGAGAAATAAATCCATTTAAAGTTTTAAAAAGATGTACAACGCATCCAAGAAATAACTGTTTGGGATTTTCTTGTGATCAATAGAACGTGTTCATGAAGACCCCACATGGTGTCAAGTAGACATTGCCTTTTACCTCCAGGAGTAAATAGTTGTTGTCTTAATAATACGTATTTTAAGTTATTAAATTCATTTAATATACATGTGTCTATAACTTAGTGCTTTGCCTCTGGAACCTTCCTTCCCCACCCCTCCCTTTTCTATGACCTGTAGGGGTTCTTTCTTGATGATGGGCTTGTATTTTAAACATCTCAAATTCCAGGAGAATTTTGTTAGGAAATGACGTTAGTGATTTCTTTCCTTTGATGTCTTGCAAATTAATAAATGTTTTTCTTTATCTTGCAGAAAATGATGTTCATTATTATTTGCGTAGTTATTTTGCTTGTGATCCTTGGAATTATCCTGGCAACAACATTGTCGTAGCAACCATGTCCCAAGAGCCATTTATCCTTGGAGTCAGACCACATCTGCAGCAAATGAGCCTCCTCCCATTTCATGAATGAATCCTAGACATTGTGACATGTGGCATTGAGTGCTGACTTTTTATTAGTGAATTCAAGGAGAAAACGCAACAGAATGTATTGTTTGGTGAGAAAAGCAGAATGGATGTGATGAGTTAACCCAGACATCCTCGGACTCTACGTAACACACCACGAAAAATTAACAATGTGAAACTGGTTTCAGTGGCCTTAAAATAAGGAATTATTGAAATTTTCAGTTTTTTTTATATTTCAGTGTTAAAAATGTATGTGAGGTTTAATTAGGAATGTCTTATGTTATGAAGCTCTTAGATGTGAGGTCTAAGACTTTCTTCCCTCTCCCAGCTAACATGCTGATTGAGACGTTTTTGTACTGTGTTTGTGTTTATGTTTGCAAAAATTATTTTTATTATCACAGAGCTGTTTTGTAAGATATCTATAATTTTAAATGTTTATAAATTGTTTAATATATTAACATCTTAATTTACTCCAATTTTATATATTAACTATTGCCTTTTAAAAGAAATAGGAAGGTTCACGATATTAGAGCCATTTTTGCACAGTTGTTTACAAAGTTTGCCCTCGGCCTAGAAGACATTGGTTGCAAGGTTCCCCCAAAAGCCTTTGTAGTGCCTTCTGTTAAAATTGATGTATAAGGTTTAAATGCGCCCAACACCCTGCGGGAAAAGCTCGATTATTGTACTCAGCTCCATTTCTCGCTGTGCCATTACCCAAGATAATAAATTAGTTACTGCACTGTAAAGACAATGGTCTCTTCTTTTACTCATTACAAAATAAGGTTTGTGATTCCCTGTTTAACACTGATAAAGTCTCAATTTAAGATGGTGATAAAACCAAATTTTAAACTCCAGGGGATTATTCCCAGACATTACGTAATTCTTTTAAATTTCAACCGTTGTACAGATCACCTAAATGTTCTTGTTCAGTACCTACTCTTCTGCTGAACTTTAAAAGTTAATTCCCAAAGTTTACAGGAATCTTTGATAATTAACATTTTTATTACTCATTATTTTTAGTATAATATGCTTTATTTTTAGACTGTAAAATGTATGAAATCTTACTAGTGAATGGACATCTATAAGATAGCATCTCGTCAAAATTTTAAATGAATATGTGAAGGATACTCAAAATATAGTTAACTCTTGTTACTTCTGTATGTGATTGTGTAAGCACAAGACTGTATTTAACGTTGGCTTGAAAACTGATATAGATACGCTTGACTGCAAACTGTGTGAATTATATTGGACCGTTTAGAAACTGTGTTCCTTATTCAGTACAATTACGAATTTCACTCATTCATACTTTATACATCTAACTGCTTAGCTTAGGCTTAAGTCTGTATTTATGCATTTTATTTACTTGCTGGTCATCACTGTGTAGTCCGAATTCCTATAGGAGTATCCTGGCTCTAGCATATATATTTCTTAAATCTTTAAAAAGCCTGTCAGTGGGACACGCTCCCTGATTTGTGCTTAAGTTGAAGGTGTGACTTGTCCTGAAGGATATTTAAATTTCTAGAGCTCATGCTTGTATTAATGTAACTTTTGTACATCCAAACATTTGTCTGTATGATTATGTCCCTGTGCGGAGGAACTTTGTGCTCCCCCTGTGTCCCACTTTTCCCTTCAAGTTAAGTCTTTTTAGTCCCCACCTCTCACAATAATTCTTACTGTATTTTTTCAAGACAGTCTTTCTGGATTTGAAGTACTTACTGAATCTGTGTTTTATAGTTGAAGATATGGAAGTGCTTTTTGATTTGTACTTAGGTGTTTAAGTCATCCATCATGTACCTATTTGAAATGAGATTTTAAAAAATACATATACAGGTTCATTTGTTACTTTTTATCATTTCTTCAAATATTTCATGTTTACATTAAAAAAAATCTCAGAGAACCAAAAAAGAAATATTTACTTTCTGCCTCATGTTCATTTCTGTAAAGATTTTTGGGGAGATATTTTATTGCATATCCATTAATAAATTCTACTATGAAAATCACCTCTGGCCATTATGTGTAATGATAAAATGTGAGTTAATAATTTTAGGTGTTTTTGATAAATTTTTGACTGTTTTATTTATTACTGTTGTTATTATTACAAGCTTCTGTGGTTCGTGTCTCAAGATATCAGCAGGACATACTAAGGAACCCACCTGAATTCTTGCTATTGACAACAACTGCCAATCCAGGGGTTTTGGCTTTGAATGCTTCTGCCAGTTTGACAGGTTCTCATGAACATTTATTAACAGGGCGACCCCCTCCCCCCATATTCTGAGTTATTTAGCCTCTATACTTTCCTTAATCCTCTTTCAGTTTTTATTAGGTGGAATTTTCTTAATCCATAACCCTTACTGAATTCTAACCATGCTGGAAAGTGATGTTCAAAATCCAGAATATAAAAAAAGAAAGAGGGGCTTCCCTGGTGGCGCGGTGGGTGAGAGTCCGCCTGCCGATGCAGGGGACGCGGGGTCGTGCCCCGGTCCAGGAGGATCCCACGTGCCGCGGAGCAGCTGGGCCCGTGAGCCATGGCCGCTGAGCCTGCGCGTCCGGAGCCTGTGCTCCGCAACGGGAGAGGCCACAACAGTGAGAGGCCCGTGTACCGCAGAAAAAAAAAAAAAAAAAAAAGACAAATAAGCTAGTCCTGGAGCACATCAGTCCATGGAGGGGGACCCCGACACGTGACCTGTAACTGCCTTTTCCTCTATTTCGCAGGGACTTTCAAGTTGCAGTCTTGACGTGCACATTCAGTAATTTAGTGCCTTTGTCTATGCTTCTTCAAGAATACGAAGCTTATCGCCTGAATGGAGTTTTCGGGTTCGCACCCTTGGGCATTTCCGGGTGGAAAGGTACCCAGAGGGCGGGGAAGCAGCCCCTCCGGGTGGGAGGTGGCCGTTCAGCTTCCCTTGGAGGCTTTGTCTGGGGCACTGCGGGGCAAGGTCACCGCCCGCCGGCCGCATCTCAGAGCTCAGAGAGACACGCCTTCCCAGGGTTCAGGCACCCACGCCGCGCCAGGGTCTCCACACCTGCTCTGTCGACGGTGGCCCCGGAGGGTGGAGCGGACATCCGGGGACGGGGCGGGGGCCGGCTTGCGAGTCAACCAGCGGTCGCGTCCTTTCCGGGACCTCTTCCAACGAATTGTTGTTAATTTCTTCCCTAAAGCGAAGCCCACATCCTTCCACAGATTTAAAGGGTGGCACCCCCAGGTCAGGGGGCCGGGCCCCCGGGGGTTCAGGGGTCAGGGTCGGGGGGCAGGCCGGGGGTCAGTCTGCATCTTCTCCTGGCTGTGACTCGTGTGCTTGGCGAGGACCCCTGTGACAACTGAGGCTACTGTTTCAGCTAACACGCAGCACGCTTCTCTGGGCCATGACGGTGAGCCTCAGGGAGAACGGACTCCAGAGGGAGACGAGGGCGAAGCCCGGCCTCTGGAGGGCAGCCGAGCAAGGCCTGGGGGCGTCTCCGCCTGGTTTCCAGAGCGCAGCGCACGCCGCACATATGTTGCTTCCTCCAGCGCCGGGGCCCGCCTTGCTTAAGACTGGACGCAGGGTGTGGTGTGGACGGGACGGCGCGCTCTGCGGAGGCGTCCCGCGTCCGAGCTGCCGGCGGGCTGAAGACGCACCTACGCCTCCGGAGAGGACGCCGTGTACGTACGTCTACGGCCGTAGACGGCCGTCGTTTCGTCTGACGCTCGGGCAACATCCGGTCGTCATTTCCGGTCTTGCCTCCCTTGAACGAGCAGGTTTCTAAACCAGTAAACGGTTAAGGGCCGGCCTGTGAGAAAGGGGTAAGTTCCAGAAAAGGCAGCGTGGTCCGGGCGAGCGAGGGCAGTGGGTCGGCAGGTTCAGCCGGCGGTTCAGCCGACCTCTGTCGACTGCAGAAAAACGCACAACGTAAAAGTGGAGATGTTTTATTTGGTGTCTTTATTGAGGCTGTAAGCCCGGGGTACGGCCTCTCAGATCGCTCCGAGGGGCCGCTCCAAAGAGGTCGGGGAGTAGCCAGGATGTATAGGAGTTTTTGTTGGAAAAAATCAAAAAACAAAACAAGTAGTCGAACATCAGGAGATTGCTGCTAATCACAAAAACAGACACATCTCAGCGTAATGATTTTAGTGCTTTTCTATGTATGGGAGATGCAAGAGTCTGGGCTCATTGAAGTGATACCTTGGATGTGCACCTTAGCTGTCTAGGGCCAGTGTGCTGCTTTTCTCCATCCTGAATCCCCTCAGGGTGCCCAGTCAGGGCGGCCACAGTGGTGATGGCTTGAGAGTGGCCAACGTTCACTGTTTACTGAAATGGCAGGCGATGTATATATTTGTAATTGAAGTCTAGTTGATTTACAGTGTTGTGTTAATTTCTGCTGTGCAGCAGAGTGATTCGGTTACACATAAATGTCCACTTTTTCAAATATTCTTTTCCAGTTTTG